ACAGTACCAAATATCATGAAGTAAATAATAAACAGAATATGAGAGTAAGTAAATGATAAGGACAGCAAAATCCACATCATGTTTGCTTCTCTTATCCTGGGAACCATTAATTCTGATTATTTATTCTGACTTTATTTTAGCATATGAATTGGGGGGAGAGAAAGGAAAATAACTGATAGTAGAATTAGACTTAAGAAAATTAGGTAAAAAGTCGTATTTACCTGTCAGGAGGCAGCTTAACAACTAAGAATTAACAACACACCATTGAAGAGACCATCAAGGACAATGACCTGCTATTGCACGGTTCCTGTCACACAATTATTAAGTTTTTGGTTTGGTTTTTAATGCCCAGTTGCCTCTACCCCACTGCTTCGATGGCCACGTGTCAAACCCCTGCAGGACGCTTGTTTGCTCACTTTGCCCATGAGTTCCTCACTGTGGGATTCGTGCAAGGGAAGCACTGAGGCACTGAGCACCTGGATGGGCATTGTCCAAACATCGGCTCTCGTCTGTGTAACATCTTGTGTTTTCTGTTTCGTGCTTCCTGACAAGGTTTGGTTTGCTGTCAGTCATTTGCAGTGACAGAGGAGCAGCTGAGGAACAACGGACTATTATTAAAGCAGCATTAAAAATCAGAATTATTAGAAAAGAAAACCTTATGGTAAAAAAAGCAGATTCCTTTGTTCTACAACATATTATCATCATTATTTTATGATTCTATTTTAAATATTATATCTTTATTATAGCTATTACATTAGTTATTAAGTTTTATGTTTTTTTAATTAATTCATTTATAATTTATTTATTATTTTAAATTAATTTATTTTTAATTTTATCTTATTTTTCTTATCAAATGGTTTCCTTATAAAATTTTTGTTATAGAAGTGCTACACGGAAAATCTTAAGCAGCAATACTTTATGCACACCTTAATAGTAAATTATTTTTAAATAACTCCTAAGAAAAGAAGACATGATTGGTTTTCTTACAACTGAAGTAATTTACAGTGTTACCATACCTCTGTGAACTCTGCACACTGAAAAATTAGACAATCTTCAAAGTCCCAAAATCCTAGAAGCTTCATGGTAAAAAATTGCTTGTTTTCAATAGTTCCCTATTGATTATTGACAAAAATGGCTCATGTTCCTGTGGATCTCCATCTACTTGCGTATGAGCAACAAGTTTCCATGGCCCTAAAGCAAAATTACAGAAGAGGGTATTATCAACGTTTTTTAACAAGGAGTAGGAGTCTGAAAAAATGAACTGTCACAATCTCAAATACAGTGAAAAATGAAGCCCAAGTCATCAATCAAAACAAGTCCAATCCTTTATCATCTTTGCACCATCCATTTGCAACTGTTTTCTCATTAAAATGAGAGATGTAGATTCTCCCTTGTCCTCCTTGTACTTTCCAGGGATTGAGATCAGATTTTTCTATGTTTTTTGGGTGTTTTTTAATAAGGATGTGAAAATTCTTATCCTCATAGAGCTCCTCATATCCTCAACATGTGGACAGTAAATGTCTCCTCATAGAGCCAAGTTTGGAGGGGTGAAGGACCCAGTAATGACCACAGGAGAGGAAGACGTGAGCATTCCTAACCCATCTTAGGCTAAGCCTACTTGGGACTGTTGCCAGGGAAGCTGAACAGGGAGTACAGTTACATCTCCCTAGAATTCACAAGGTGAAGCCCTTCATGGTGGAGAACGGCTCCAGCCAGCTGAGACAAGACCAAAAACACAGCTTAATAGGAGAGATAAGAGAAGTTGGTATCATTATATAAAATTTCTTGTAAAGTGGAGCAACCAAAGACTGGACATGGAAACTATCCACATTACCCCAGACCTCTCTGTACAGCCAGACTTTAGCCACTTCAGCCCAGTAAGTGGAGACCTCCCTGGTTTGCTGACAGTGAAGACTTCAAAACAGATCAAAATTACCAAAAAACAAGCTGAGCTTGGAGGAACTGTGAAAATAAAAAGCAGCAGAGCAGCACAAAGGCAGCAGAGCAGCAGCATGATAAGAAGATATGTGATATCATGGGGATTAATTTAAAAAATAAAGATTTAAAATTATTAAAATGAAAATAAAATCCTAATTCTGTCACCTCTCTCCATGCAGTATAAGCAGAAAATAGAATGGGATGACTGCAATCACTGCACTGTTGATTTAACACACAGTAACAATTGAAAACTATCGTTAATAGTGTTGAAGTACAGCTGCTGACATCTTGTATTTTCTTTCCTGACCATCAGAGATTTGATAGCAGTTTCTGTGCACAACCAATAAAAGTTGTATAAGTAGGCAGGTAAAAATATACAGCCCCTTCCCATCAAATACCAACTCCCAAAAGTTAAAAAAATTTCTTAACTTCATGCTATTCTGAAATACTATTTTCCAAACTTCCATTACCTTGAATTTACTCTTTTTCTTCATTAAAAGTTTTAGAGGAAATAGATCTTTCAAGGAAGAACTGATAAAACAGGTAAGTCACAGCAACTGAATGTTAAACAAAAATCTCAACAAGGTAACCCAAAGGTGCTAAGCTGGATGTGGACAGTAAATGTCTCCTCCATTTATATTTCACTTCTGTGTTTTCTGTTACAGATGCAGCGGGGGTGAGAAAGCTTTTTCTCACATAGGCAAGAACCTTTACCCATATGATCACAAGACTGAGATTAATTTATTTGATTCCTTAGCACACATCCTCAAGACAACCTCCCTATGCCAGGCTGCAGGACAGAGCAACTGTGTCACCAGGAACCTTCACCTCCAGACTCGAGTATTTCTGTTAATTGATGTGTTTGACTTGCACTGTGCTACCAGCAGCAACCACCTCTGAGTCATTTTCTAACACTACAGAATGCAACTGTGAAAAGAAAATCAACAAGTATATAAAAGTGTAAGAAGTTACTCATCTGTCACTTGCAATTTGACATGAGAGCCAGAAAATCCGGAGTTATTTGTCCTTTGTACTACCTCTAGTTAAAATTAAGCATTCCTGAATCAGCCCACCTGCAGCAAGAACAGAGAAAGCTGCTTTGGATGGACTAGAAACACTAGAAGCAAAAAAGACTTACTGTTTACAAGTAGTAAGTTTTAATAGCAGAATTTTGAAAAGGAAAAACTGAATACCTATTTTGTAAATATTTTGTGGTCTGTGTGCATTGCTCCCTCTAGTGTGAAAGAAAGAAAATCACAACAAACATTCTCCCAAAAAAATCACTGAGATCGGTAACAAACTTTTTTTTTAAAAAAAACACATGATTCTCTAGTCACATTTTCCCCTTAAATATTTATACAATTGCTTATATTTTGATACAATAAAAGACATTTTCACATAGTTTCAACTGATGATGTAGGTCTCACACTTCTATTAACAGGAAATGATCACATCAGAACTCAGCAGTGAATGTGCAAACTTACACCCCTGTACTTGTAACTGCAATGCTCCCCAAGAAGCTGGTAAGCCAAATGTGGTGTTCCAGTTTTGATCTCCATTAGCATACTAATTTCCCGTCTGTGTTGTTATTATTACCTTCATAGAAGAACCTGGTCTAAAACACGGTGAAGTACACTTTAGTATGCACACATTCATCTGCCTACTGTATCTGGTTAGGCCCTAGAATTTGGAAATAAGGCAGCTTTGGAGATCAGACTTCCTTTCCTAAATAGGTACAAAACCCATTAAAAAACACCAAAGTCAGACCAAAGACTGGCAAGTCTGAGAAATTATTTTAAACTTTAACCCAATCTCAAGAGCCACTGGATGATACTGGATTTCATCACAAGAGAGTATGGGAACAGCAACTGTCACTGCTGCAACCTCCCGTCAACAGGGTCTGGGAAGAATTCCTGGGACAGTTTCCACCACATAACCAGAACAAAAATAAACCAGCCTTTCATGTCAGTTTCATCAGAAGAAGATGCAGCATGCTTTTTCAGGATACTTAACAAGCTTCTTTCAATCAGTCAAGTTTTCCACCTGATAATTCCCGTAACTGCATAGTCCCCTGTAAGATGAAGGCAGCACATTTTCCTTCACCAAGAACTGACGAAATCATCTCTGAACAGAAAAGTCATAAAGTAAGACTCAGAAGTCTGAGGAAAATTTGAACTAGAGCTTTCCCTAATTATGTGATTTAAAAAAATTCAAAAATAATTAATGCTTTTTTTTGCAAAAATGAGCTATTTTCCCCCCTGCAATATTGCTAGTGTGCGAGGCAACTGAGAACACAGGAAGCCTTCTGAAGAATTATTTGGCAACTCTATGCTTTCTTTTTTATGGGACTTCATATTTCACAGGTATCAACATCCTTATCATACAAGTACTATCATCTTCCAACTTCCTGTTGTAACTGCATTTCAGCTTTCCAAGGTCCACGACAGAAAAAAGGCCCATTTCTCTGTGCACCAAATCATTAGCTGGTTTTACACATACAAAGTCTGAGTACATTTTGTGGTACCAGCCTGAAATAAACTCTGATGCAGTGTATTTTTTTTAATACCCTAACAGAGTCCTAATGATGGCAAGTGGTTCTTCTGTCTCAACACTGCCCAAATTAGGCTCCATTCGCTTTAAAGAAGAGCATTATTGTATGTCAGATACTTTAAGTTATTATATTAAATGCAAACAAAATTTTAATTTTTCTAACTGATGTGGCTGTTGTGGCCGTCAGAGCAGCATACCTCAGTGATGGTCCTTCCAGGGTACCTGCCATCACTGCTCTCCCTAAAGCTGTGTCTGCCATCAAGTCTGAGAAAACTATTTGCTTGATCATTTGTGAAGTTTATCCAACTCATCCCTAATTACCAGGGTCCATCACAGGCAACTGGTCTCAGCTACTGGAATACCTCCTATGCCAAGGGCTCAGTAAGGACAATGCTGGGTGCCACAGGAGAACATTCAGCTTCTCGGCCCAGTGCCTCTGGAACAGCTCAGTCATGGAGTAAGAAAATGGGCTCTGCAGCAAAATCTCAGGGGCTAAATTCAGGACAAAATTTACAGTTGAGAAAGAAATTTTATTTCAAGCTTCTACGGGGGTATTACAAACAATAGAGAATAAAAACATTAAAAACTATTTAAAAAGTAATTGTCCCTTTAAAATAAAGATTCAAGCAGGTTTAACAATGAAGTATGCTATTCAATGAAGTTTTAAAAAAAAGATTTAAAAAGTATTGGTTTTGCTGTATTTGCTAATCCTTTATAAAAAAGCTGGGCATAAATACTTCGTGCATTCATATGCATTATTTGGTGTTTCATATTATATAACTTGGTACAGTATTTACGATATCACTGCAAAAGAGTTCAAACACAGTGCATTTATAAATAATGGAGCCATTATAAATCACATTGCAAACATACCTTGCCATTTTCATTGTTACAAATTCAGTATCTCAGTGAAGGTAGGAATAAAGTAGCTACAACAATCAATATCTTGACTTTATTTTTTTTTCTTTTTAATATAAAAATGCAGTTCTGGAAACCCACCCTCCTTCTTCCCCCTGCCCAAACATAATGCTTTACTTCTTAAAAATAAAAATAAAGTACTAATTCTATATACATCACATGTACCATACAAAAATGTATCCAAAGTTTCTATTGCTACCAAAGTGTTCTAAATTAAAAGTTACATAAATCCCCTCATTGGAAACAAAAGATTACAAGATACCAAAAACCAAATTACACACAAACCATCGAGTTATTTTATACAATTTCCAATACATTTTTCTCCCAAACCAAGTTGTCTTCTCATGTGCCTGTATAAAAATGCATATCAATATATTTGTCAATTTTATTTTTCATTATAAAGCAAATTAATACATTTTCTACAATAAATAAAACACAGGGAGGCACACATATCAACAAAATTAAACCAATGGGAGATATATGGGATATGGTTTTGAAAGAAATAATGTGCTTGCAGGCTTTAAGCCAGGTTTGTTTAAAACAGTAACAACCTTAAGTCATTTTGGGCAACAATGGAGTGTTTTTGGTGATTTGCAAGTGATGTACATAGTATAATTTTTATTGATGTCTTTTTCACAAAGTACCCTCCAAAATAATGCAACTTCCTTTCTTAAAATACATATTTGTAATTGTAAATTTACATCAATCTTAAATATGTGGTACTTTGTGCAAAGAGCAACAATTTACACAAACATTCAAAAGTCTTTTTCAGAAGCTACAGACCAAGGAAGAAATGATACAAGCAGCACCATACTGTATATGATTTAGGCAAACATATATTTGATGCCATTTTGATATTAGGCTTTAAAATCTACTAAACACCTCAAGCTGGAAGATGGTGCTTAGGTAACTTAACCTCAGAAAGAAAGAAAAAAAAAAAAAAAAAGTAAAAAGCATGGAAAAAACAAAAAACAATTCCCTCCCCAACAAAATTATAAAAGGAATTAAGGAGCTACTTCTAAAATCAGAATAAGTTAAGTGTTGAATATACATTTATGTACAATTATGAACACTATGAACAAGACATTTTAACAGGTTTAGTGGAAAATCCTCCAATCTACAACACAATAAAATAATTAATCAATATGGCAATGGTGATTTAGAAGAATTGCTCAACTATTTCAAGTTTGCAGAACTCAGCCACTGAATCAACAATTAAGGGGTTGTATCTTCAATACATTCTTTTAGACAAAGAGGTTCATTAGTAGAGTTCAAGTCTCTGGTATTTTTCATGCCTTGCTAGAGAATCTCTGTCAGTCAATATCGCTGAAGTCACTGACTGGTTCTCCATGGACTCGACTCAGGTGATTCATAGCACGATCAAAAGCAATTCTTACTGCTTTTCGTATGCTCGAGTTACGTCCTTCCATCATTTTTAACTTGTCTATGGTCTCATCTATCCCAAGGGGAACCATTTTGGATTTGGGAAGCCACTGCCTGTGAAAAAAAGGTAAAAAATAAATCTGTTAAATATAGAATAAAATCAAGAAGTCTGTCCAGAAATGTCAGGGCTACTATGCCGTGTTTCTCATCTCGCAGATCAGCTTTACTATCTTAAACAAAACAATAAAACACCTTATATTAGTGCTTACTTGCATTAAATATTTAAAGAACATGAAATATTAAGAAAATCTCTTCCATAAAACACAGAACACATTCCAATTCAGTGATATGCACTTAGTGATTAAGTATCAACAGAAAAAAACTAAGCCTAAAAAACTGATGCAGTTAAAGAACAGGCAGCAGCAGCTAACAGTGGACATGGCTCAAGATTCACTTGACGCAGTATTGTTTCTCTTCATTCTTTCCCTTCCATCAAAATAAGGAGTTTTCAGATGATGGATGTTTGCCTTGCATTTCAGGCATCTCAATTTGTTCTTTATGGGGAAAGCTAAGCTGGCAAGGAAGTTCTGCTTTAGCATGCTTTTACCCTGCAGTGTATGAAATCCCACTAGCTCTGTATTCAGGGTACTTTTCTGTTGCAAGCTCCATACGTTTCCTTCAAATTCTGGGCATGGAGGAGATCTGATAATGGAAAAAGGTCTACATCCTGTTCTTCTAGTTAAAGCATTCTAAATATTTACTTTAAAAGTATAAATTAAACTTATGTCATTTTCATAAAGGTTGATTGTAATCCTGTTTTCCAAAGTTACACACATTGAGGAAAACAAAAATTAGGTCAATTAATGAATATATTTAAAATATGCTACTGTAGTCTGCAATCCCAATCCTGCAAAAGGCACAAGACCTCCTTTTGTATAAAAACATTAGTTTGGGAGGGAGACCATTTGAAGCCAAACCAATAGGAAATCAGACAGTCAAATATGTAAAAAAATTTCTTTTAAATAAATAAAATTGGCTATTGAAATATTTTAATTTTCTTAAAGGACCCTAAACTAGAGCCCTATTGTATTGAGCACACACACTGAAATAAAATGTGAAGTCAGTACAAAGACACAGACAGTATGATAACAGCATGAAAAGCATCAGTCTAACCATTACCAGTTTTAATACAGATCAGAGGAAGTTTTAAGAAAGTATTTTTAAAAGAAAGCTTTGCAAGTCCTCCAGATATAAGCGAGGAAGAAGAAGAAACAAATATAAAAATCCATAGGGGATAGACACTGGTATCACAGAATGAAGGTGACAGACACCCTGCAATTGAATGAAAATAACACAGGGTTCCAGACTAAAAGAGACAAAACAGAGATAGAATTATGAGTGCCAAAATAATCACAGTAAAAGATTTGTTACCAAAACAAGTTGGTGGGGTTAGGATGGAGGGGAGGAAAGGGGCTGGAAGAAGTATTGAGTCTTTTCCATTCCATCTATGCAGAGTACCCATTACAGACAACTTTGCACAATATTTATATGATTTAGGACCACCTACATATAGAGACTAATCAGAAAAGTTTAAGCTGCAAAGGACTCCCCAGATCAAGAAGCAATCAGAGCAAATATTAAGAAACTGACCAGGGAAAACATGCATTACAGTGGCAACACCGGTAAGAGAAGAAAAAGAGAAACAAGGCTGAGTACGTTTAAATGCAGATATTCTCCACAAACAAAGGCAGAACAATACAGGATCTCATGGAATCCTGAGCAACTGAACAAAGATAATTGAGACAAAGTACCAATCAATTAAGAAAAATAACCAAAGAACAGAAAAATTATGCCAAAAAAATCTAAGGGGTAGAAGAGCAAACATCAGTTATAAATTTTAAGCAAAAATTTATTTAAGTGATAGCGTACTGGAACAGACGGAGTCAGGAGAATGGCAGCATCACTCAGTGCCACATATAATCGTCTAAAGAGGAAACTGATAGCTAAAAGTAAGCAAATTCAAGAGAAAAACGAGACATGGACAGATTTACAGTTAGCTTGGCCTGTATGGAAACTAGGAGAGGAGAGGATCTACAGAGAACATAGAAAAGAAATGCATAGCTTGATGAATGGTAGATGGGAAGCTTCCATGTCTAGGAAAAAACAAAACAAAAAACAACCCTAACAACCAAAAGAAGACCAAAAAACCTTGTGTGTCTCCTCCTACCTCCCCAGAAAAACCCCACTAGCCCTAAAACCAAAGACCATGGGGGAGGGAAAGAGAATGTTTTGTTGTGTGAATTATCCCCCTTCAGGCTCTACATATCATATTGCTGATGCCAAAATAAATGGAAATACAGAGGGTTTGATGAAAAAGAATGTAGAAAATACTAAGAACTTCAAATGAAGGTGTTAATAAAGCCCTGAATTAAAAAGAGGTAAAAAATTCAAAGAAAATGCACTTGAGCAGACTGGGGGAAGAAGTGTTGTAATTCAGAAAGCAATGATGAAGGGTGACTATTACTTTTTAAAAACCTATGAAGCAATGAAGCAATTTCATCAGGTCAATAAATGAAAGCCACCTGTAAATAAAAAAGACTATTTAATGACTTAAAATATTTTTTTCCAAACTGACAATAAAAAGGTACCTTTCAGTGATTATATATACCTTGGTCCAAAAATAGACTCAAATATGAAATTTTAACCTTACAGTTTATACTTCCATAGGAATTATATTTATGGAAAAATAATGTTTCCATTTTCTTCTAGATCAAAGGTACAGGTTCTTAAAATTTTAGGTCACTGCATCAAATAATACATTTCAATAACATACCAACTTCTTTTGTTGTCAAAAAACAGTACTAAGAATAGTTTCTCATCTGATTTGGTCTGCATTTGTTCTCCAATTTTCAGTACATCTAGAGGTGGCACTGGTATAGTAACACCGTTGTGATGGCCAGCAACACGAGGCATCTTAGGGTCAATAATCTGTAAAAGAGAAGAAATGACAGGTCCTCATTTTTAAAATTATGTCATTCATTTTAAGAAGGTATTACAAATGAAGTTAACAAGAAATAAATAATAAACTAAACAGCCATTGGACATAAACTGACTTTGTGTTACACACAACTTTTTGACATAAGCCGAATAGGCATAGTGGAGACCTAGTGGCAGACTTGATTGAAAACACCAGAAAAAGCATTTTTCACCCATTTCAGTTCTTCTTAGAAGTCCCATTTGAATTCCACTTAGTACAACTCTGAGACTAACAAGCAGGTTTTAGAATGAAAAAGTCAAACCATGATTTCTAGAAGCTGTAACTGGCCTCAAATTTTAGGGTTTGAAATTCATATAACTTAAAGAACCAACTTATGTTAAAGTATAAGTAGTTTGGTAAAATACATGCTCCATACTCAAACTCTGGGGCAAAAATTTAAAAACAAAACTAAAAAAAGATGTAACTTTCTAATATCTTGCATATCCAATTTAATGACTCAGTCTTCAGCAAAACATGCAGTTACAGTCACAAAGTCTAAACAAAACTTGAGGGAGAGAGGGAATATGCTGCTCATGTTAAACTAACCAACCTGATGGAAAACTCCTCTGCAGGCAGCTCACAGCATTATGAAGTGCTTAGCTTCCACCCAAAGAAAGGTTTTTATTCCATACCTATTCCACCCATCTCCTGCTCTATCAACTCCTGTTTTTCAACTATCCACACTGGCACCAATCTTAATCCACAATAAACAGACTTTGGGAAACAAATGAATAGAAAGTTAATACTGTGGGAAGCTTGTAGAAATCAGAAGAATTTTCTGCTCTTAACAGAAGTTGAACTTCTCAGTTAACTTATCCCACTCTCAGAAACACCAATGCTGACATAAAGGAGAAGGCAGCAAAGGAACCCTTTGGTCTTCATCAGTTTAAAATCTAGTGCTAACATCTTTAAAGAGACCATCACCAAATTTTCAGCATCTGACCCACGTGTCTTTGAGTCACCCATTGAGGGTACTTAAACTCAAGTGCTCTGAATTCCACCTCCAGAGGTTTTAGCCTGACTCTGTATGATTACATTTCACGTTGTCTTTAGAACACACATATTAAAAGTTGTGATTGTCCAGACTTGTATATGAATCAAGCCAATGTATGCACTGATCATATATAACCCCCAAAAGCCTAAAGCCAAACACCTCATCAATATTTTCTCTGCAAGCTTTGATGTAAGCAGATCTGCATCTGCTTCTTCTTTATTAACAAACACACACGTATGTATCTCCTCTACTAACAACAGCTTTAAGATTCCAGTACATCATTCACAATTGGCTGCAATCAGTCAGTTTATTCCAGCTATTGAGGTTTTGTTTCTTTAATGAGTTGCAGCATCAAGAGTATTTTTATACTAATTTTGCAGTAGAATTAATATATAATGTAGAAACAAAGACTACTGAGAGAAGTATGCTGGTTTTAGCAGGGATAGAGACAATTCAAAGTAGGTGGTAAGAGGCTTTGTTTTGGATTTGGGTTGAAAACTGCATTGACAATATAGAGATGTTTTTGTTAATGCTGAGCTGTGCTTACACAGAGTCAAGGCCTCTTCCCCTTCTCACCCTGCCCCACCAGTGAGGAGGCTGTGTCCTCTCCCGACTCCACAAGGAGTCAGGAGAGGACACAGCTGGGGCAGCTGACCCCAAGTGACTTTAGGGATAGTCTATCCCATATGGCATCATAATTAGTATACAGAGCTGGGGGAGGAAGGAAGGGACATCGTGTGTGATGGTGTTTGTAGGAAGGGACATGGTGTGTGATGGTGACAGTGTGATGGTGTTTGTATTCCCAAGCCACATGTAAAAGAGCCCTGTGTTGCTGGGGATGACTGAAAACCTGCTGCCCATGGAAAGTGGTGAATGAATTTGCTTTGCTTGTGTGCATGGCTTTTGCTTTCCATTGTCTTTAAGACATTAAACTGTCTTTATCTCAACCCAAGAGTTTTCTCACTTGCACTCTTCCGACTCCTCCCACCCACAGGGAGTGAGCGAGTGGCTGCAGGAGGCTTAGCTGCACAACACAGGAGTATTGCACATCTCAAAGGGCTGGCAGGGTAGCAGAAATTACTGACTTAAAATCTGGTATCACAGTAACTTCACAAACTCAGTGCATAGTAAAGAGGGCAGAATAAGTCACCTTTATTCAACCTGAATGGGAATTTGCCAATTACCTTAAGTTTGCGCATGGTGTTTTCAGACCAGAAACAGTCACTACTGTACTTTTGGGAAGCTGGGCACTTACCAGAGCTGGGTAAGAGGGATATCCACTGCATTTGGCCCATACTACTTTTAGAGGCTCAAGAACAGATGTTGCAGCATCAGTTGAAATCCACATACTGCTATGCCCAACTTCTAAGAACAAAGAAATATAAAATTAAAATGTTCCAGAATGAAACCTCACACAAATCTGCAGTTGTTTCCTAATCAATAGCTTGTGATCCTTAGAACCCAAACACTAATACCAATTTTCACAGACATACCAATAAAAACATGGTAGTATTCATAAGAGCTCTTTACATGATACTAATACTTTTTCCAAGCCTACAGATAAAGAACAAGAGTTTAGACTTCTACAAATAGCATATCTAAACTACAAATAGCATATCTAAAACATCTTAGTTCTTAGGAAGTGTTTGCCAAATTCCAATAATTCTTTCCCTTTGAAAAATACTCCAAAGAAAACATAAAATTATGGTACTTCAAATAATAGTTTCTTTTACTGTGATGACAATCCTGTCACAGAGGTGATGGTTTTCAAGATGCAATTTGCACGGTATATATTTCCAAGTGTTGGATACCTGGATACCCACACTGAGATTAGCACCTCATAACTTAACAATACTGGTACACCTTTCTATTCTTATGCCTAAATTCTAACCTGCATATTGACTTCCATTTATTTTTAACAAGTTTTCTTGGTCTCTCTGCCCTGCTCTTTCCTGCAGTCAAGTTCAAAAATGTCAACAGGTTTCCAGGCAGCGGCAATAGTGTTTTATTTCTTCTCAAAAACTCAAACAACTGAGTTTACGTTACTGTGCCCTTCTACAGAATCCTCAATTTTCTCTGCTGCTCAGCAATGGATTGAAGCCTGAGACAGACGTAAGCCTTTCAGTCAACCAAAACCACAACTGGTCCCCCAGATAACATCCAGAGACTGATCAGAAGACAGTGAGCTACAACCTCAAGATGAAACTAGGGGTGGTGATCAAAGGGGGAAAAGTTATCCAAGTTCACAGGCTGTAAATGTCAGGCAGCACTTCTTGTATGGGGAAATGTGGTACCAAGATACAGTTCAGGGGCTGCAGCTGCACTTTCTTTCAGCGGTCAGGCAATATGTACTGCTGAGAGAAAGTGCATTTCAAATGGGCATTGCTTATTTATAATGAAAGGTGGCATGCAGATACATGTTCTGGCTTAACATTACAGAAACATACCAGGGCAAAAAAGTGTTTTAAGACCATTTAAAAGTAGAAATAGCATGAAAAAAGTATTTAAAGTGATCACATAAAAAAAATTAGTTCAGTCACTCTGCACAGTAAGTTCTGTTTCTCTGCTCTGTTAGTAACAGTTTCTAAAGTATTCACATGTCAGTTAGAAAGAATCATGACAGTTTCAATTAATTCATCCTTCATTTACAGACTGTTTCAAAAATATGTATGTAGAACTGTGTCTGGTACATAAAAACAGTTCAAGTCCTCTTCTTCAGGACAGCTTACAAGAAAGAAATCTACACTGTTCTCAGCTGCAAAGAAAATGGTATTTTAATGATGAATAGAAAATCATACACAAGCTGATGGGATGCATGCAGCCAGACACAGAGACTTCTCAGGTGTATATACAAGTAAGAGTCTCAGAATTCTTCCTAGTCAGAGTTTATTCCACATGGTAGTAAGGAGTTACTAATCTAGAACATAGGATTACTAATATTCTTTAACAAGATCTGTAAAAGAAAAATCATATTTTTTTATTTCAAAACCTCTTTATTTCCTCAAGCAAGGAGAAAAAATTCATCAAAATCAGAGTCAGATGCTATTATTTAAAAAGTCTTTAAAGAGCCAAAAGCAGAATTCAGTAGTTTCTGGAAGGATAACAACACTTTCAGAAGGCTTAATGTATTTAAGCAGTAAAAATAAAAATGTTAGAATCTGTCAAATAAATGGACAAAATTATACAATACTATTAAGAATTCAATTATTTATAGTTACCAGCTGCAATTCTTGCTGCTTTGGCATAGTTTCCATTTTCAATGCATGATATCAGTTCACTTCGATCTTCCAGCGTGTGTCTCCGTATCAGGGCAGGTTTACCTTTACCACACTTCGGGAGACTAAAACTACAAAAGTATTAACATTAAAATCATTAGTTGATAATTAACATTGTTCACTATAAATCAAAATTTTGAACGAGAATTTAAATTTCATCAGTACAGAGTAAAATCACTGGAGTAGGCTCTAAAAATATTTTGAGTAACAAATACAAATGACATAAAAGCCAAAACTCTGATTATTTTCATACACAGAATTGCCTGGTTATCAGCAAAAGATAGTTCTACTGCTCCAACAGTTCTACTACACAGAAAACACAACTATTCTCTTTAATTTTTCACTACAATTTCCAGTCTTTCCATTGTGAAATGTCTACTCAAAATGGGAAAATTGTTTTCTACACACTTGAGTTTTCTTCAAGAAATCATAGAATCAGAACAACAATTATAGTGACAATTTAATCTAGAATATCACATTTAAAATAGATGGAATATTAAATTATCTTTGTTTCTGAAAGTCTTTTTGACATGACTGCATTAACACCATTCTCTTTACCCGAACACATGAATAAAGTCCTCTTTTCTGTCTAACAATTTACACTATACTCTCGTGTACGTCCCATCCTCATAGCTCAGGACTGGAGACAGCTAACTTTCACCCAGAAATCAGTGTTCTTTCAGAAGATACACCATTGGTGATGGAGACATCAATGGTGGCAGAAGTGTCCATTCTGACAGTCCTGCCTTTAACAACAGACTCCATGGAGAGAAAGTCAACAGCTGGCACAGAGTTACTATCAACACTGTAGTACCTACCCAGCAATCCACAGACTGATCACCCACAGTTCCAAAGCCATCAAACTACCTTTTTTGTGTACAAGACTCTGCTTTGTAAGTTGCTTCTCTCTTGCTCTCACAAAAATAAACACATATATTTTTGGTGTTCCAGATTAGGAAGGCAATTAAGCCAAGACACTATATGCAAAAACATATCTGTATCTTTACAGAGCAAGAAAAGCACAGTCAGTTTAAAAATGCAACTGCCTGGATATGCAATAACCTGAATTCAACAGAAGAATCCCAGCAATCCTGAAAGGTATCTCAGATCTGACATAACTGAGAAAATTGAAATAGACTCTTTTTTCCAAAATTTATGCAATCCTCCAATGTGGGTCAGGTCACAAGCACTATAGAAAACTGATATATCCAATCTCAAATCTGTATTTCATATTTACAGTTTTACCTTGAGTTACACAAGAGACTGTTACTAGATGAAATACTAGATTCTGATGCACAGCGGCGACGAGGTTCCACTTTTCTTCCTGGAGTATCATCTAATGCTCTCTCTTTACTTTCATCTCCAAAACCATTTGATAGACCTGCAGCATAACACAAAAAATAAACTGCATCAAACTGGAAACCACACCATTTTCATTAACAACCTTTTGTATTTACACAACATATCATCATTGTTTTGTTCTTCAAGTATTTTGGTGTGATGAAAAAGAATGTGAATGTTAACAAAATATGTGATTTCAAGGAACTATTATAAATAGGAAGTTCCTGTTGTCCAGATTTTAAAAACAGGATGAACCTTTAGGTAAGGTACAAAAAAAAAGCAAGCAGAGATTGTAACATGGGAAATACTAACAGCAGTATCAAATCAGTCTTTACAGTAATGTTTCCAACTACTAAAACAATCACATTGCAAAAGCTAAGTAGGAAAAAACCCAAGAAAATAAAATGTTACAAATCAGGCAGATTACCAAGTCACCAAAAGGCTTATTTCAATGCAATGGTGTAATCATTAAAATCCTTTTCAAACACTGGAAGACTGATATGGATTTCTCCATGACACTATCTAATTCTTCCTGGTAGTCTTTCCATTTTAGTAAATTCAGACTGACTGACATGATGATGATTGTCTTCTGTCACCAATAATCAATAATATGCATGGTACTGTTTTTAATTAGCCTTCCCCTAACAGAAGTCTATATACATCAAAGGATATTACATTTTAATTTCATAATTGTAAGGAAAACATTAAAAAGGCTTTCATATTACAATCCACTTATTTGATGGGCTGTTGCCAATCCAGCTCTGGGTTTGCTACGCAAACAGTATTGTCCTTATTAAGCCATTTCTATATTTTATTAAAGAGGCAAATGAAAAGTTTCAAGATAGCATTCTGAAGACTTTCCAGGTGTGTGCGAGTGTATGTGGTGGTGTGGCCATTAGGACTAACATGGAAAGATTCCCACAGAAACTCTAGAATACGATCAGAAATGCACTCAACAAAGGCAATGGTACCAGCCTGCAATCAGCCACTGCAAACTGCAGGCTACAAAGAGAACAAGATTTTAAAACAAATTCAATTCTGGGCATGCCACTCCCAACACAAGAAAGACCTACCCATCCCAGCCATCCTTACCACCACCAAAGACTTGAAGGCCATCATGATCATTGTACATTCAGACACAGTCAAAGTAGGTTATGTAACTTCACCTGCCCCTCCACAGAGCCTTTTACTGTAAAACAATTATGGCAGAATTCCCTTTATGAATTCTTCCAGTCTGTTTGCTACAAAGGAGGCTGATAACTAAGGAACTTTCAAGTTACCTTTTACAATCCAGTAATTTTTCAAGTATTTCCATATAGTGACTTATAGGGTTTTTCCCCTCCACCCCAGGAGACCTTCCATTTGGATTACCAATACAATTTCACATTTTTGAGAGAAAAAGGAGTATATTTACTCAAGGTTCTGAAAGATTTACGTATAAGCATTCTCTTTCCTTGTCATTTATTTTACACTGTAAATATTCAATCAAGAGTGTTTGTTTTGTAACTTCTATATTTGCCTTTGATTTCCTACAGAAGAAAAATGGTAAAGGAAGCAATGTCCTGAGTGACAAGCACCAAACTATTCATCAGTGGTATGAATTAATCTTGTTCTCACTCTCAGCAAGTTGATAAAAATATCTGCAGATTAAGGAGGAGTTTGGTCTTAGACTGTGCTTTACAGAGTATGCTTTATGTAAAAGTGTATAGAGGAATTTAAATTATCACAGTACATTTCACATGGCATTTGAAATTAAAAGCTAAAAAAAACCATTCTGCAAAGGACATCTCTTACGTCTCTGCAAAAAATACTTGTTATTCTTCAATATCCTGTCAGATTTATCTTTCAAGTGAGATGTATAAACTGTTTTGTTTTCATCTTGCCACAAGCTGGAGACACATTACTCAAGTTATCGCTCAGGCACCTAGCTAATGTGAAGCAGCTATCAGCAGAAACAAGTCAGATCACAGACTGACTTTTAAACAGGAAGACAGATCAAGTAATGATTGCTGCCAGAACAAGGGCACAGTTCACATTCCCAGTGGACTGTGAAAGTGGAAAGAAGTACCTGTATTAAGAGCATGTGCAAAACATTTACCCATATATAAGCCAAATGTGACTTGGATGCTTATCTCTGCATACATTTGTTTTGTACATGCACACCCAGGACAAAAGTGGCTTCATATTTTTGTTATTTCAATCAGTTTATGACTGCATTGTCACCAAAATGGGCATTTTGGCACTCTCAGTCCCTGGCAATGGTGTCTTCTCTTTGTCAACAAGTCAGTACCAAGAAATGGTAAGGAGCCAGTTTTCAGCAACACACTGGACAAAGCAACCATGTGATCGACTGACTGCTGAAGTTAAGAAAAAGGGACACAGCAGAAACAGGCAACTATAGCAATGGAGACAGCTCTCTGAGGTGGCAGTACAGGCCTATTCTACTTTAAATATAAGCTGTGAGTTTAATGACTCACTCAATTCACTTCAGATTACAGTAAAAATTGTTTTATCAATCTGTAGAATAGTTACTAACAGTGGTGTCCTGGTTTCTGCTGGGATGGAGTAAATTTTGTTCTGAGCAGCTGGTAGAGTGATGTATTTTGATTTGAATGTTGTAACACACTGATGTTTGAGTTGATGAGCAGTGCTGACAGTAAGTTAAGGACTTTTCAGTGTCTCTGTCAGTAAGCAGGTGCACAAGAAGCTGAGAGGAGCCATGGCCAGGACAGCTGACCCAAACTGGCCAAAAGGATATTCCATACCATGGAGTGCCATGTCCCATAGATAAAATGAGGGGAGTTGGCTGGAAGGCGCTGATCACAGGGCTGGGCATTGGTTACTGGGTGCTATGCAACAGTATTGTGCATCACTTGTTTCTCCTGGGTTTTATTCCTTGTTCATATTATTATTACTATTATATTTTACTTTTTTCAAATGTTAAACTGTTCTTATCTCAACCCAGAGGTTTTACCTTTTTCTGATTCTCATCCCACTGTGAGGACTGAGGATTGGGAAGTGAGAGAGTGGCTGGGTGGTACTTGGTTGTCAGCTGGGGTTAAACTATGGTAAGTGAGGAAAAAAACCCCAGAGTATTTTTGACAAAAAAGAAATACTAAAGTGCAAAAGAATTTAGAGCTTCCCAGACATATTTCTCTCTTGCTTGTGGAAGTTCAAAAAACAAAGAACATGCAATCTATCAGCAGGAATAATTTTCCTGAGCATCAAGCCCCAAATGACAGGAGCTTACTCAAACCATGATACTCCAGTTTATACAGTTCACATTTCAGAAGGTATAAGGAATAGGCATTATTTTAAGAAAGGAAAATCTCAAGGCTTATTTTAAGCAAAACACACTCATATCTAGTCATAGATGAAGTGGTTCACAAGTGACCTTCTCACTTGCCAGAAAAAAACGAGGCAATAAAACCTAAGCACTTTATGGCAGTAGCACTGATGTGCAAAAAAAGATCACATATACTACACAACTTGGTTTCTGTTATATCATTATAGAACTATTTTCTCATGAATCATGAAACACCCAGTGTCCTGTAGCTGCTAGAGTAAGTGAAATTAAAGATATCCATTTGCTTTAAGGAACTTGCATTTTATAGAATCAGTAGATATAATTTAGAAGGCCAAATAAAGAAAATCCATGAGACCTAACTCATCCTGCTTACAACTTTCCACAAGCTCATGATTTTGTTAGATCAAATGAGCTTTCTCTACAGTCATGGAGTGAAATTTTATGTCAGGTACTATATTTCTTACACATACTGCCTCATCGATACCACTGAACGACAACCCTCCTCTTCCCCCCAGAAGTCCTAAAGATCAAACTAGAAGCCTTTCATTAGTGGCTCATTTCCTTTACTTTTAATCTCTGTTCTTAAGTTTCTTCAAAAAAGCAGTCCACTCTCAAGAGGCAGAACTTAACTTTTTTCAGTTAAAAAGGGAATTCTCAAACAATGAAGTCTGCTATCAATCTTAAATGCACGGTTACTGCCATTTATCTTCAGCTCAACTTCAATTTACACGGAAAATTTACTGCCTTGCAAATTGCAGCATAACACAATCATTTTGAAAATAAAGAAAAGCTAACTAAGAAGAAACAAAGTAAGGCAAAGATGATCAGCCTGATACTTTTCCACAGGTCTCTCACTGTACTGAAAACTGTATTTATCAGGCGAAGTTTTAACTTTTTCTCAGCAGTGTCAGTTTATTCTTAGGCTGCATTTAAAACTTTCACTGACTACCTACATCAAGCAAGTTGGAATCTTTTTGCCCATACTAAATAAATGGAATCAGGAAAAGGTAATTTCCAAAAGAGAGTAGAAGTTTGGAAAACATGGTAGAGGAACAAAGCTCAGTATAGTCCAAAGAGCAGCACAGCATGTCCACAAATGTACAAAATGCTGCCCCAGAATACAGAATTGTGCATTTCAGACTGTAATCACACCTTACAATTCTGCTGAAACAAAAAGAAAGAAGCAGAACTTGCAGAAAACTATTCTAACGCAATTAATACTGTACTATGCGAAGCTTGATGCAAAACCAAGCACATGCAAATATAAGATGAAGTGCTCTCCTAAAACTAGAACTGTAGGGCTGAGATTCAACCACTAAAAAACCTGGGGGCATTCAAACAATGACTGCACACAGTACACCAGCACTTCTACAACACTATTTAGTCTCATTTTCAGTCACGACTTGTGCACTTACCCAGAACCACTGATGTTACTTTTCATTAAAATATATATACAGTAGAGGAAAATGTGTGTTTTATTAAAAAAAACCCCTTTTTTTCTGATAGTTTTCATTTCTCCAAGGAAGATGAGACTGTTTTTTTGGGGGAAGGGAAGAGGATGGAGATGTAGCATTCTTAGCTAATCTGTTCTCACAGAACATGTTCTGGGAATAAGAAAGTTGGGACTGGTAAAACTCTGCGACCAGTGTGTGTCACATATACTACAACACGTACAACTTTGTAACTTACGGAAATGGGGCAATATATTGAATGAAGAGCATAGTTTCATATGT